GAATATTAGACATCAGAATTTTTATATATAAATGACAGGCACATGTGAGACATGCATTTTTTAAATGAGCCCATTAATTTGATACAGAAAAATATAAATATAGAATAATAGATATATTGCTATAATAACAATATAAAGGTAAACAAGAAAAAATCCATATGATAAATATGAAATTTCTCTATAATATAGAGAAAAGTGTATCAAATTGAAATATTGGAAAGCTGTGGCAATATTTCTTTCAGTAGTTTTCACGAATTTTCTCAAACTGAATATGTTTTCTAAGAAAACAGTTAATTAGAGCCCACTGAGGTTATAAAATAGAATGTTATCTCCAGGAGTGATAACTATCAAATGTTTTCTTTATTTTTAAACAAATACTCCAACCAGAAAATTATTTGGGTTTTTTTTAAAAAAAATGGTAAGGATCTTTCTTGTGTCTACCCTTTACTACCCTAAATTCTTTCTTGTGACTGCTGTAAATGCTTATCATTTTTTTTTTTTCCCTTCTTTTCTCCTAAGACCACCTAAGTGTAAGAAAAGAAATCCCTGCGCATTTTAATCATACAGTATGTATCAGTTCAGGATTATCCATTCACACGTACAGTCACTGGTAGAAGATAATGCTCCAAACTGTCTTTCTGCTGCCTACATGCAAGCTCTTCCCCTGTGGTAACGCAAGACAACTTGAAGCCCCTCTTACTGAAAGAGCGATGGGTAACCTTCCATCTACTGGCAGTAGGATGATGAACTGTTGTGTGAGCGGTTGCATAGCAACTCTGCATGTGCATATACTTATCCTATGGTGAATGCTTGTCTGTGTTTTTTGGAGGGGAAAGCTTATGAAATAGACTTGGCAAAAATGTTCACACTGTTCAGTGAGCTACTGACATGTTGTAACGTCTTACCCTTCTGTTAAAAATGTTTTGTTATATGGAAGGACTTAAGGTTAAAAGACACATTGGTTTTTAAGTAGTTCTTCTCTGTTTAAAATGTGTGTGCATATGTTTACTATCTTTTGGGAAAAAGGGCTTCTACAGTGGAGCAGAGTAATCTATGGGCCTGCTCAGCTTGTGCCCCAGGGAAAAGCGGTCCCTTACTGTGGGAGGGGGGAACCAGGAAACTTTCAGAATGTAGCGTATGTCTGGAAATGAAGGATTTGTCTTGGTGTGGATGGAAGATAAAACCAGTGGTTTGATCAGATGCCCAGTGAAGGAAGGGAAGGAAAGAAGGAAGGAAGGAAGGAAAATTCAGGGCAAGTAGAGAAGTCCTTCAGCACAACAGCTGTTGTTGTCTTTGGTGGCTTTGCAAATCGATTGCTTGTAGGGGTGCTGTTGGTGTTTTTCACTCGTATTTATTCATACTGTGCCTTGTAATACTGCACATATCCAAACCCACAAAAGAAGGACCTGAACACCGAGCTTTGCCCACAGCTGCTTAATACTCCTGGCATTGCCTTGGCCAAGTGATGTACTGAGAATGTAGCATTTTGTCTTAACTGTTCTAACCTGGCTGTTGATTTTATGTTACTACTAATTAGCTTGTAGTTCCAGGAGCATATGGCTGGTCTCCTGTGGATTGTCTGACCAATTACTTTTCTTCAGGTACCAAATTTTTCTGTAGGTACCAGCATGGGGCTTTTGCAAGAAGTTTCTAACAAGACCTGTCAGTGGATTTAGTAGAAGGGATGGGGTGAACATTCATGCTTCATTATTAATGAAAAATAGGTTTAACTATTAGGAATTTAAAGAGTAAGTAAATTTGTCTGATTTCTTAAAGTTGTTTAAAAAAAATCCTAAGTGAGTCATATTGCGATCCATCTATCGGGCAATGTCTTTCAGCTCAAAGAGTGACTGTAGAGAACTTGGTGGATATGTTTGTGGGCAAGGTCTCAAAATTGTGTTTTGAGGCTGACATGGCTGTTAGAGTGGAGGAGGTCTCAGATATGCCAGACCTCACAGCAGAGGAGTAGAATTCCAGCCAGAAAACTCAGGAGGCGAAGTTCAGAATCAGTGGGTTGAGAGAAAGGTGTTAAGGTGTATAAAATTGTACAGTTTGTTAAACAGCAGACAACCCCCTGATTTTTCGAGATTCTATTTTTATGTGGAGTAAAAGGTAGATCTGTGCCGACTGAGCCAATAGTCTCTTTTGGTGGATTGGTTCCAATAAGGAGTTCTTAAACGATAAGCTGAAAGTAAAGCATTCTAATATTTATCTTGGATTGATGAGGGGTTTGTTCTGTTTCACAACCTATTTCAGATACTTTGTGAAAGCTGTTGATGCAAACTGAAAATCTTTTCATTAAATGTGCAGAAAGAAAATATAATTGAATTACAAGCATTAAGTACACTTAGTCTTTTTACTAGTTAAACTTGTGTTATCAGCCAGAGTTCTAGATGATGGTGAAGTATTTCCACTTTAAAAAAAAAAAAAAAAGTAAAAGAGATTTAAAACCCTGTGAAAGTGAATGTCAGAAGTAGTAATAAAGATGTTCCCATCTTTTAGAAGACAGATCTTGTCATTGCAAAGCTATTAATATCTAGAAAGAATTTTAGTGAAGAATATGCTCATGGCTTACTTTGTAGAACTGGGTTTCCTCTCTTAAGTGTAATCCTTTGTGGAATTAAGTAGCCATGTCTGTGACAGAAATACTGCTTTCAGTACTGTTTAATCAGAGTGATTTGAATTTGTACTTTGCATACAAATAGTTCATCACTTCTATATTTCTGAAAATGCAACAGAGAAAAAATGATTTCACAGTACTGAAATTCTAAATATTCTGTTGGTAAGCGGGTTGAATGAAACTGCATGTACTTATATTTTCCATTATTTTGGTTGAAAAACAATTCTGTGTTCTTGAATATAAACACATTGAAAGACTCAAAAGTTCAGAGCACAGTCTGTTTTCTCCTTCTATTACTGTCTGTTGGAGTTCGGATGTGATAGAGGGAGCAGGGACTCCACAAACTGATCTTGTGCAGGGTCTGCCAGGGATTCATTAGGTGGAAACAACAGTTTAAACTGGATATTCCAATAGGTGAAGGACAGCATTTCTTATAATGAAACTGCAGTTACATAAAATAGTCGTGTACCTTTGCAGCAGTACCTGGGTACTGAGCTTGCTTTTCAGAGGTATAACTAATACGATCGAACAGCTTGTGTTTCAAGTGTACTTTGTTGGTGTTTTTTGAGAATGTTCAGTGGTTCAAGGCTATATAAATAGATGGGAGATAGCATAGTGAGTTGGCGTGGAACAGTCCCATGTGTCATTTCTTAGCTGCCCAGACTGCCAGCATGCTTTTAACTTTCTGATGTAGCAGTGAACAAGGAGCTGCTGTGTTACTGTGTGTCCCTATGTTATACGTGAAAATTTGAATTGATTTTACATGTTTGCAGTTACCACAGGTGTGGAAATGATGCATTTGTGCATTTTTATGTATGAAAATATTTAATAAAGAAATGGTAATGTGTTGCAAATAGTCAACCTCTCCTTACATAACAGTGTCATGAATTAGTAATTACCAGTGTATAGAGAGAAAATTATTTACAGAATTTTAGAACAGAATAAAATAGAATATTTTCAGTTGGAAGGGACCTCCAACGATCATCTAATCCCGCTGCCTGACTACTTGAGGGCTGACCAAAAGTTAAAGCATGTTGTTAAGCACATTGTCCAAATGCCTCTCAAGCACTGACAGGCTTGGGCCATCGACCACCTCTCCAGGAAACCTGTTCCACCATTTGACCATCCCTTGGTAAAGAAATGCTCTCTGATGCCCAGCCTAAACCTCCCCTGGTGTTGTTCTGAACCATTCCCACACATCCTGTCACTGGATCCCAGGGAGAAGAGCTCAGCCCCTCCCTCTCCCCTTCCCCTCCTCAGGGAGCTGTAGAGATCAATGAGGTTGCTCCTCAGCCTCCTTTTCTCCAAACTAGACAAGCCCAAAGTCCTCAGCTGCTCCTCACAGGACGTGCCTTCCAGCCTTGCCACCAGCTTTGTTGCCCTCTGGATGCATTCAAGGACCTCCCTATCCTTCTTAAATTGCAGGCCCCAGACCTGCACACACAGCACTCCAGGTGAGGCCGCACCAGCGCTGAATCCAGGGGGATAATCACATCTTTTGGCCGGCTGGTTGTGCTGTATTTGATGCCCCCAGGATGGGGTTTGCCCTCCTGGCTGCCAGGGCACACCGCTGGCTCGCCCTGAGCCTGCTGCCCGCCAGCACCCCCACATCCCTTCCTGCAGGGCTGCTCTCCAGCCGTTCCTCTCCCAGTTTCCTCGTGCCTGGTGTTACTTTGTCCAAGGTGCAGAATACAGCACATGGACTTCTTAAATTTTGTCCCACTAATCATAGCCCAATGTTCCAATCTATCTAGATCCTTCTGCAAGGCCTTGTGTCCCTCCAGAGAGTCAACAGCACCTCTCAGTTTGGTATCATCAGCAAACTTATGGATGATGCATTCAACTGCTGCATCCAGATGGTTGATAAACACATTGAACAGAACTGGCCCTAGAATTGAACCGTAAGGAACACCGCTGCTGACCAGATTTTGTTGTAAACACCAACTGAATGCTCTGTAATTGGTTGTTTCAATCTAGTTGACGGGGTGGTTTTTTTTTTTTCAGAAATACGTGATTAGATTTTGTCTGGTTTTATCAGTTTGCTTCTTGCTTAACTGAACTGTTATCATTGACCATTTTTATCAAGTTCTTCAGCTAGCACAGGATCACAAGAAATGGTCAAATTAGCTAACGGGTAAATGTCAATTATCAAGCTCTCTTCTGTAGAGTAGTCTTTTAAATTCTGGTGAAGATTTCTGTTCTTTGTCATTCTCATGTGCACATTCATTATTCTTCACTGTGGATATTGGGAGACCTTAGTAGGTAATATAATTAATTTATTCTTAACCACTCCTTGTTGGATTGCTACAGTGTTGTTGTTACTTAAAATTTGTTTTATAACAACTTTTTTTTTTTTCATTTTCTTCATATTTTTCAGATTATGGCACAGGCTCCAGGTTTGGGGAAGAGATATATTAAAGCCTTTTTTAAAGGTTTCTTTGTTGCTGTTCCGGTAACGGTGACTTTCCTGGATAGAGTTGCCTGTGTAGCAAGGGTGGAAGGAGCATCAATGCAGGTATTGTTGGAAATAACTTTTCTGTGTCAGGAAATGAAGAAGTGACTGTCCACTGACAATAGCAAGGTGGAAAAAAATCTTTTTCTCAGTTGTTGTTAAATGACCACATTGTAGTATGGAATAGTTTCATTTTGACTTTGTTAAACAAATGCCTTTAGGATGTGAAAAGAAAAGCTTCTGAGAACAAAACTTGCCAAAATTCTGTCTCAGTAAAAGGAAAATATATAGATAAGTAGTGATAAAGATACATATTTTTGATATCTTCCTAGTCATTTAGAAATAAATATTTCTTTTTTGAGCACTACCTTTTGTCTCTTGGGATTGAATTGATGACTCACAAAGAGGCTTTATTAATTTTTAGTAGCTGTATTATAGTAATTGTGAGGCAGAACTGGTTCCTGCTATACTTACTTTTACTAATGAACAAGTGTGGCACCATTTCAGTGAAGAATACTGAAAAAAGCATGAACGTAATATTAATGCCTATGCTTCCCAGGACATAAGTATCAGTTCACTGTTTTTACTTTGGTTATGCTGGATGTTTATACAGTGTAAGCAAATAAATATAAAGAGGCCATGTAGCATTTAGAAGATAAATACTCATGCTAGTGAACAGCTTTGTTTCCTCTGTTATTGGGACTTGAAAATATATGCTGTATGTAGTTAGCCAATTTTTGTATTGTTACTTTGCATTTTAAATCATATGCACTGCCTATTGCTACACATCACCACTGAAAACTAGAATTTATTTTGTTCCAGTGTTGCAACATTCCAATTAGCAGAGACTAACGATTTGATTCTTGGATGCTAAGCCCTCTGTTCTGATTATCTGAGTAAGCTCAGAACCTTGAAGAGAGGTTTCACAGCAATCAAGGCCAGCTGCTGGAGTTTGAATTGTGCAGCATTCATGCAGAGAAAACTTGGGCTAGAACCTGGGCTTGGCCAATTTGTGCTTAATGCTATAGAAAAGCATGGGGTGGGGAGGAGGGAATGGCAAGGTGGCATTGTGCTTTTTGTGTCAGTCTGTAATCCTGTGTTTAACATCTGTCAAGAAACCTCAGCTGGTCTAGAATGCAGCTCTTGCCTCTAGAACAGGGACCAAAGTAAAATCATCATACTCCAGTAATTCTGCAATCCAAGAGCGGGATTTAAGTGTAATGTAAGTTACCTTTGCCCTTTTCATGAATGTTACTCTGAATATCATTGATGACCAATCAAAGGTACGAGTATTTCAGGGCTTACAGTTGCAGAGCCAGAAATTTGCTCTAGAAAGGAGGAGAGGAGTGGGAAACTGGGAAAACCAGTTTCATTCTCTTTAGACAGGAGAAATTCAAATATATAACACAGCATCTGTATAAATACAAAATCAGCCAGATGAATACAACTTACCCATTATCAGTCTCTCCATTTTTTTGCCTCTGTTGGGATCTAGAGCCACATGTAGCATTCAAGATACAGATGCATTTTGAATTTTATGGATTTGTTTTGTGTTTTTTTTTTTTTTATTTGGGTGATTTTTTTTTTTTTTTTAATTTCTTTTGCTACTAGTGAGCATGACCTGAGCATTTAATTTTTGAGGGGTTTTTTTTTTAGCCTTTCATTGTTTGGTCTTTTCTGTCTCTGACATAATGTTCTGTTTGACATCCATTCTTTTTGGATAGTTTTTACCTCAGTAGCTGAAAAGAAATCATCTAGATTTCCCTACTCCACATGTCTGTTGAGCTCCTCTTGTCAAGACCTCATTTTTGTGTTTCCTTTGAAGTCGGAGTCTCAAGTGTTAAGGAGTGCTCTGGTGGTGTTCTAGAGTGTTGCTTCTGCACTCACTTGAAGGGCATATAGTTAACTGTGGTTTATCCATGGAAGATTTGAAAAACACTACAGTTATTTGCTCAGATTTATCCAACCTGACAAAGAAGGATAGGCACTCTTCATAGTGGCTAGGGAACGCAATATATATTCAGTGGGTGATTAAAATCTAAGCTCTTCACTTGCTGTGTCTGTTGACTAAACATTCCCTCTGTTGATTGAAGTATGGGTAGCTTGAAAGCTGACTTTTCTAATTTTACTGACATCTCAGTGTCTGAAAAATTCTCTTTCTGGTTTTATTCTGGACTGTAGCACTGAAATAGAGGCTTGTTTTAAACTTTTATGCCTATGGATGTTTTTCAGGCTACAAAAAAAGGCTTCCTAGTGCTTCTAATAAGATACTAATTTCCTTGCCAAGATTTATTAGTCACCTAACTAAGTCTGACAGGGACATAATTATAAGGAATATATCCCTCTCTTGCAGAGTAGCTTGAAGGAGTGCTGGTCATTGTGTTGCAATTCCGTCTGTTTGCTGTGTTCTCTGAAGACTGATGTATGTTGAAAGTATCTGAAAGCTATGGGTATGGGGGAGAGTGAAGTTCGGTCAGCATGTAGTCATATATCCATCAATCACGTGCTTCCAATGATATCTTATTGCTTCAATTTGAAGATATCATGGTATGATTCCCAAGACTTTGTTTGTAATAGACCTCTAAAACATCTATCTAGATGTGTACTCGTCACTGTGGCTCATGCTGAGCCTTGTGGTTTAACCCCAGGTGGCAATTAAGCCCCACACAGCTGCTTGCTCACTCCATCCAGGTGAGATAGGGGAGAGAATCAGAAGAGTCAAAGTGAGAAAACTCGTGGGTTGAGATAAGGACAGCTTAACAGGTAAAGAAAAAGCTGTGCGCTCAAGCAAAGCAAAGCAAGGAATTCATTCACTGCTACCTGTGTTCAGCCATCTCCAGGAAAGCAGGGCGCCATCACGTGTAATGGTTCCTTGGGAAGACAAACGCCATCACTCTGAACATCCCCCCCTTCCTTCTTCTTCCCCCAGCTTCATATACTGAGCGTGACACCGTATGGTCTGGAATAGCCTTTTGGTCAGTTGGGGTCAGCTGTCCTGGCTGTGCCCCCTCCCAGCCTCTTGTGCACCCCAGCCTATTCAGGGGTGAGAAGCAGAAAAGGCCTTGACCCTGTGTAAGCCCTGCTCAGCAGTAATGAAACCATTCCTCTATTACCAACACTGTTTTCAGCGCAAATCCAAAACGTAGCCCCATACTAGCTACTGTGACCATTACCTTTATCCCAGCCAAAACCAGCACAAGCCTGAAATTAAAAGTTCTGACAAGAAGCAAGGAATAAATCTCTGTGTCATGCTCACTCTCGTGCTCTTGCTCTCTGTTGTGCTCTCTCTCTCTCCCTCCTCCCTTTCTCTTTTTGTTTTGGACCAGCCTTACTGCTGCTTCATAGTTACTGACGATGGTAATACTTTTTGACACCCTGCCAAGCATGCTGCAGAAAGGTTCTAATGAAAATACAAATTTTCTGATTTATTCCCAGTCAATTAATACAGACTTCATGTATTTCATTGTCTCAAGCTGATTTTGTGTTTCTACAGTGCCTTCAGCAACCTGTCATAATTCTTTCACTTGTGCTGACTTCAGTGTATATGAGTATTAACTCTAACCTATAGGGAATAACAGTGAGCTGTTGCAATTTATAATTTCACATCTTGAATTGTTTCATTACTCTATTTTTTCTTTCCAAAATTACTGTTTTTTGAATCTTCACATGAGGTGTTTCATTTTACAGATTGATGTGCTCATCTAGCATTTTGTTAATAGTGGGTTTCAAGTGAGTTGTAATCTATTTACAACACTGAGTGTGACTTAAATAACTGGTAATATGATTTCTTAATTGGCTGTTGTGGATTTTTTGTGACTCTTGTAATTCTGGATATATACTTTAACATGTTTGCTATCATACGGATACCTTTTTTACATCTTGATGTCCATTTATGTTTGTTTTTTCTGTTGACTTTCATTGCTTGTCTGGTATTATGAACTCTTGATACATAATGATGTGGAAAAGGGATCCCCCTGTGGCTATATAAATTTGTAAATTCATTAAACCAAATGGACTGTTTTCAAGTGAGATGGAAGATGACAGTGTATGTGCAACTTTATATACAAGTTCTGTGGCAAACAGTTCAGTACCAGGGATTGTAGCAAGTCTCCTGACCAGTGCGCTCTGATGAAGCACGCTTGTTTCAGCAGCAAACGTTATTGAATAATGTTCTATTCCATTATACATAATAGCAGTTGTAATTATTCTGCAGCAGTTTCTCCTAACTTTATTATTAGGATTACTGTACCTAGGCCTGTGAGCTCATGTGAATGTTCCCCAAGCTATAAGCAAATAAGTTGTGACCTTCTGGTATTCACTAGCAGCATAACAACAATCAAGTGGATCATTATTTATAGTAAAAGGGCATGCTTTTACACTCCTACTTACGGAACCTCATGTCCTGTGAGGCTTTGTCATATGGCTGTCGAATGTTTGTGTCTTCTGCACTACAGTTTTAAATTAAGACCTGTGTGTCTCATTTGTAGCAGGCTATTACGCCAAGAACTTAGACAAACAAGTTATAATGCTTAAAACTAGAGGAAAGAAGAAGCCCCTGTATTATTTTGTTTCTTATAAAAATCAAGACCCCTTGTGAGCCTATTTGTTGACTACTTTTTCAGAAGCTGTATTTTTGTTTTGCTGGACCTGAGACCTTACTGCTAGGAAAAATGTCATGGGGAATAAGTTGTCTCTGAATACACTGCATTAAATTGTTTCAATACTTTTTGTTGTGGAATCACAATGTTATTTATTTATGTTAGAGAAAGACTTGCTGAAGGATTTAGATGATTTTTTTTTTTTTACAGAAAACTAATCGTTGATATAAAATGAAAGTTGTCTCCTTCTATTTTTCCTTACATTTCTTCTACCAAAATAGTATTTTTGTCTGCGCATTTTGAATATGTCAGGGTGTTCTGTGGGAAGGAAAAAAAAAAATTCTACATTGTTGTATTTCTCAAACATAACTCTAATGTGTAATGAGTTGGATATCAACTCTGTATGTCAAAACCACATGAGCAATGTATTGTTTAAAATAACAAGTAATATGGTATTACATTTAGAGTACTTTAACTTAAAGAGATTATGCAATATCTAGATGTATTTAAATTCTAAAGCATTTTATTTGTTTAAGTACAGAAAACAGTAGAAGTCAACTGGGATAATACAACTAGGGCAATACTGTAACTACCTGGTGTATTTCTCTGTAAGATAAAGTTGATATAGATGTAGTTGTGAAGAAAAGTTTGGGAACAGTCGTGGAAATCTTATTTTAAGTATCAGCTGTGAGATGCATTATCTCTTGGAGCAATGGGTTTAAAATTTCCATTTGTTTTGACCTTCTCTTTTGGCCTTTTAAGGCAGATACTTTTGAGTACTAAGCAGTTTACTTTGTGAGAATATACCATATGTATGATTCCTGCTTTCTAAGATCTGCTTCTTTGCCTAATGTCTAGTACTATTCTTAGCTTCTGGCCCATATGTGCCTGCATTTGGTAAAATGAGTATGGCTGTGAATTGTTTGTGAATTTGTATGTAAAGAATTTGTAAGCAAACATACTGTCCTTTGGTGAAAGATGCTATGGAGGTGGAAAATAATTCTGGAAAATCCTGATTAAAAAAATAATAATCAAATATCTGCTCATTAGCTTCTAGTATTCATTTATCTAGCTCTTGCAGTGTATAGACTGTAGTCAATAAAATAACGACGAGTGTTAATGTACTTACAGCTTAGTCTTGAACCATGTTTCTGTGGATTTTAATGATTTTAATTTAATCCACAGTTTGAAATGTAACTGGCCTCGTTTGCTGTTTAGCTAAACATACTGTGCATTTACCTTCCCCCACCCCTATTTATTATTTTGAACTATCATATTCTGTGCTGCTCGTGTGACTTACACCCTACTCAGGGCCCCAGCACATTACTTTTTGTTGCACATTAAAAAGCTGGTTTTTCACAAATCCCATTTGAAAAATCAGCTGAACTGGCTAGCAAAGAAAAGGTGATTGAAGAAACTGTAGCAAAGAGAAATCAGCGCTTTTAAATAGCTTTTAAAGTTAAATACTAAGTATGGCTCTGTGAGAGTTCATGCTTCTTCGAATCCTGTTATGGAATGCCCACATTTACTGGTGCTGTCAGTATATGCTGTAGGTATGGGGTTTGTTTTTTCCCTTTGCAGAGTGCTGAGATTAGTATTGTTACAAGTACATATTTCGTTTTTAGTGCGTTATGCTTGTATAAGCAGTCAGATGCCTGCAGAAAGTTTGCTTTTTCTGGGAATTAGCGTTCTTGGTTCTCCTTTGGTTTTGATATTAAATGGTATGCAGTAAAGGCCATCACTTCTTTTCATCAGGTTTGTCATAAGTATGTATCCTGCGTAATTTAATTTGCATGCAGTAGTGCGTTGAAAGATGTGAACTGTAGGTTGTCATAAATTAATGACATTTAACATAGCATTTAATAAAGAAATACATTTCCCAGAATGCAACAGATTCTTGGTCCTCTTATAGTAAGTGGGTACATTTTCATTGATTTTAATGGATTTCACCTGTTGATGGAATGAGAGTTAGGTGGAAGATTCATAAAGGAAAGTAGATCTAAAGCTTTTTGTTTTCCCCTTCTCTTAGCCATCTTTGAACCCCGGGGGAAGAAAAGCATCTGATGTAGTGCTCTTAAACCACTGGAGCATTCGAAATTACGATGTACAACGTGGGGACATTGTGTCATTGGTGTAAGTAATTTTACATACATTTCAATACATGCTTATATAAATGTTGAACCATCAGTATTTAGTATTTAATCTAGAGTAAGTATATATATGAACAAGGAACAATTTTTTTATTAATACATTATTGTTGTCACTATAGTAAGTTTTCAAAACTCAGATGTTCAAAGAATGCATTACCAAGTTTTTACTTGAAAGGAATGCAGTGTAAGATATTATGTGATACAGTATACATGTTTACCAAAACCACCAAGGGAAAAGAGCGGTGAAATAATCAGAGAAAATAGTCAAAACATCATGTGGCTTAATGGAGTATACTTTTAAAGTTGTTTGGCTATGCACTCATATATGTGAGAAAAATAGTGTTTCTATACCAATTATTACTAACTTTTATTTTCCTGTTGAAATCTGGCTACAGAAATAAGATCACAAGAATTCAGCTGTTTCCATAAAGGACAAATGTGGAAAAAAAAAAAAAAAAGTTTTACAATTATAATGGGGAGGTCTATGTATCAAGCCAAGAGGTGGCAGTGTTTCGCTGTTGAAAATATTAAAGACTAACAGGACAGAAACTCCATTTCAGCCTTAATGTAATATAGAAATGGAATGTCAAAGTGTGCATAACTGACACAATGTTATAATACATACTCATACTACATGCTTGGATAGTTTAAGTTAAGGTTTTAGTTTTGTAAGTGAAATGCACAATATGTAAATTATAACAGCTGTCTTCGGAAGCTATAGTATCTGGCTTTCTTTTTGTCATATCTCTCCTCTAGTTGTCCCATTTTTTTGCCTACCTCTTCACTGTAGTAGTAATTTTTATGATGATTTTCCCTACCAGCACTTAAACCAAACTCTCTCATGTACTCTTCTTTTGTTAGGAACAAAGTTTACTCTATGGTCTGTGTTATTATCTGGCATGCAAGATTTTCTGTGAATGGTCTAGCTACAAAGATGAATTTATTAATGTTTGCGACACCTAATATTGCAAAAGGACTCCAATTTCAGGTCACTTAATGGCTGCTTATTAAATCTGATTCTGCCTATGTGTGCTTTCCTCTGCTCAAGTCATGCTCTCGTGATTGTTTAAAACAGTGAGTGTAATTGATTAGTAATTAATAGACTGAATAGAAGATAAACATGTCTGCAGAAAACAGAATGAATGGTTTCATTCTTATACTACTTGAAGGTTTGTGGTACCATCTGAGCCATCTGCATTGATTGCTTTCACTTTGCTGTATGTTTGGGCATGATAACTAATATTTTAGACGCTGTGGCGTTTTTTGTATGTTTTGAAAATTTTGCCTATTATTGGTGGAGCTTATTTGCACCCACCTGGAAGAAGTTGCATTGTATTTATGCACTGTACTGAGGTTTTTCTTAATCTTTGGAGAAGAAACTGAATAGTCAGACTAGAGAATTCAAAAAGGACTTTAAGAACAACACAAAGGAAGTTAAACAATGTAAAAATAATCTATTGAATAGTTTTGATATGACAATACTGAAGGATATTTCATATAACAGTAGCAACTTTTAAGTACTTCATGGTATGGGTTTGTTAGAAGCAGCTTTGACCTACTAGCTTACTGCAATGTGAAGTTTTTAATTGTGTTGTAAAGACTTGCAGGGTATAGTACCTGGGTGTGCTTTTGTACCCATGTGTGTTGTTTCAGACTTAAGGTTTTGCACATGAGGCTTTTATTGTGTAAACAGGTTAATATTTTTATCCTTTTTGATTGTTTACCTATGGTTTCTACAACTCACTAGCGAATAGATACCCTATGTATATGCATGAATTTTACTCAGTGGTCCTCAGAGGATTTGGCTGATTTAAGCAAGGCTTGAACAGGGAAGGCCAGTCTCCCATCAGCTGCTGCTTTTTCTGTTCCTGTTAGAAATTCAGATGAGAAAAGTGTTGGTGTGACTGAGATATGTAAACCTTCTTTCATATCCTACTTGGCTGCTTAGCCATTATCCACTGTCTCTTTTTTGCGAAGTCATAGTAGAAAATAGCTATGAGGTTGTGGGAGGGTGGTCTTTTGCAGAACAAGGGCTGAGGTCAATATTCCTTTGTGGTAGCTTGACCAGGGCCATCTAAGCCCTTTGCTTTCTTCATACCATCAGAAATATGGTATCGTTCTGGATGGGTGCTGTTTCTATCGCAACTCCCAAAAGGGACTGTTGAGATCCCAACTGGCAAAGTCCAGTGTAAGTAGATGGCCAACAGCCAAACCCTGGAGCAAAGAGATGAGTTAGTCTTGGTGGCCCTGGATGCCCCAAGAGAGAATCAATCAGCCTGTGATTATGCTTTCTATACTGCTTGCAGATCCAAAAGTTTTTGCTTTCTCATCCAATCTAGTGCTTGATGAACAAATACGGTTTTGTTATTTGCTGACTTTGATTAGAAATGAGCACCCTGTCCCCAAGCACTTGGTGGTGTTTATGCCTGGTTAAGGTATTATATGAACACTGCATGTTTATGGAAATGTGTGTCTCTGCATCTGATGTAGATATAACAATGCATCACAACCACAGCTGTGAAATGAGCCATTGTGTGTGCACACATGTACATATACCTGGTTCTAGACATAATATTTAGAATGGCGTTAGTCCTTAAAAGTCTAAAATTAGAGTCAGATAAAACCAATGGAGAGAATAAGTTGGTAGGAAAGAATTATTTGTTTACTCTCAGTTTAGTGTTTTACAAATAGTTAAATCTTACATCAGCTTTTTAGAAGATGTTTTGGAATTTTTTCTATTAGCTTGAACTCATCCTTATTGATACCATAATTAATAGAACTCAGTGTTACACGTTACAACTTTTGAACTCACAATTTTAAGTTGATTCAGAACTAAGGGAAATTAATATCATCCTTAATTTGATCATTTGCTTGAGTGCTTAATTTAGATACTGCTATATTACTGGGACTTAATAAATTAAAAATCAAAACAGGAATATTTTTTCAATAAATTAAATTATTTCTACTATTACGTGTTCCAGAATACTACCTTTGCATGTCTTAAACAGATGCAAATAAAAGTGTGTTATTTTCTTTGTTTTGGAAATGCATTTATTTGTCTTCAAAGAGACAATGTAGTCATGTGGCACATGAGGTCATCTTTAAAAGATAAGTGAATGTGTATATTTGCCAGGCAGACCTTGATCTTTCAATAACTGCTGTGGTGAAACAGGCACTTTGTTTTGTAAGAGGTCTGCTGAGGTAGATCCCAACAGTTATGTAGAACTTTATCAGATACTGCAGGATGAGTTACAGGATGACTAGGCTTCTCCCAGCTGGTTTTGCTCTGTAAAGTTTGAATGCCAACAGCACTGTAGCTGTAGCAGGATGCATCACCGTGTGGGCTATACAGCTCATGCAGGTCCTTGGGAATATACGGTGCAACTGCATTTCCCACTACTAGTAGAGATAGTGCTTTTATGTGGAGTATTAATGGACATTTTTGCCAACTTACCTATACCTAATTTGGTTTCTACTGCATACGAATAGAGGCGGTGGTGTAAAAAGATGTTGCCAAAGAGTGATTTGTAGCTCTAGAATTAATTTTACTTGTCTCTACTGAAAACCTTATATCCTGAATGTAAAGTCTTGCACTCTTTTTATTCCCGAATTCCTGTCTTAATGTAGAAAGAAGTTGTTGCAATATGCAGAAGATTGCAAAATCAGCATGTGTATGTAGAATGGGTGTTTTATCAATATGACAAAATTTAAGTAAGCTTTTGAAATGAAGACACAACAGTATTTATTCAGACATTTAAATTTTACATAAATAAAGGTTTGGACATTGTCTTGTTCTTTGCTTGGTTACTAGGTTTTTAACAAAGGAGTTAACAATGACTGCAATATAAATAGGGTTGTTAGATTTTGAATGATGACATTTCAAGGTGGTAAATATTAACAGATACTAACTTTAGCCTTTGGAGGTTATGTTACTTTGGTAATAGAGAGAACACCTTCTTCAAGGTGTGACCGAGAGCAGGAACCTACTTGCTGGGTAGGTTACCACGTGTCCCTCCATTTCTAAGTTAGAATGTGTGCTTATACATTAAATAAAAATAGCTATATTAACGTAATCTGGGAAAAGATTGAGAACTAAAGCTGGTTTTCTGTACATTCTGAATGGTAACATGCTTCTTCAGTTTTGAACTATAATAGCTAAATGAAAATGGGCAGTGTATTTAAAAATACATTTTTAAAGGTCAGCTGTAATAATAAGGAAGTAAATTTGTCTGCTTCATATTTTGTCAGCTTCTTGTGAGTTCTTATACAAAAGCATAATTGCTTTAAGTACAAAAACAACTTTTTACATGGAAAATTCTTCGACATTTAAAAAAAAAAAAAAAGCTTACTTCCTATCTCCTATCCTGAAGAAGGATATTAAGTAGCTTCTGTCACTGCTTCCTCTGACTGTAAGATTATGTTCAGGCCTTGCAGCAAACTCCCTTACTTTTGGTAACTGCTAAGTAGTTTTGTGTATGGTTATATGCATTTGAGCTCTGAAAAATCCAGTGCAAATCAACACTGGAGGAAGAATCAAAGTACTGCGCATGAGGTTGTCTCTGCTGCTGTATCCCTCACTGACATCTGTTCAGAAATAAGAATTGGAAAAGATAGTTGCCGTGGTGATTTTATGTGATAGTTCAACAAGTGTCAGCCTATTCACACAAATCTGAATAACCCAAATTTTGAAGGAATGTGGTCTTGTTCAGTTGATGGAAACAAAAGAGTTCTCCAATGGTGCAAAGTGAATACATACTATTCATAAAACATCACTAATTGGAATTGCATTAATAAGACTAGCCTAGCAAAATAAAAATCAGTAAAAAAGGTACTTATTGAAGGAACTGCCTTGAATTTGAATCAGTAGTTGTAATTATGAAAGGATTTCCTACTAAATTCTGATAGATGTAACACAAAAAGATATTTAATAGTTCCAGCATTATTTTTAAGAAAGCTTCTTTCTGACTAAAGTACTGTACAACATTTTCCGTATACTTCTGCCTGACCTTCTTAAGTCTTCCAATTTCTATTCTATTTTTGTTTGTACTTAGGTCCCTGTACCAAGTCATCTGTCTTCTGGCAGGTAGGACACTGCAAAGGAGGTTGTGCTGACATAGAAGCTAAATAATCACTTTACTTTCTGTGCCTCAGTGACCTCAGAAAATCTTTTCCTATTCTGTTCTTTTAGCTGGGAAAAAAAACCCTCCTGTCTTTTCCTGGTAAAAATCAAATACGTAGTTCTACTTCTATTATCTGTGTTACAGTCTATTCTTAGAGTAGATATTGTACTATATGTGAGTGTGTTAATGCTGTTGATGAAATAAAGACTTGCATCTTCTATTCATAACGTAGGTAAAAATAATGTTTTAAAGAAAGTCTTCGGATACCATACATGATCCCTGGTTTTACTATGAAGTGCTCAGGATGGGTTTAAGTAGGCAATTATTGTAATATTGTGGAAATTGAGTAGTCGTGGAGGAAAGAAGTTGTAGTTAAAATTAAGGGTTTTTAATTTAAAGTCTGCGGATATGAGTAGTTAGTTTACAAGAATTGATTGCAAGAATGATTGCTGGAGAGCGTCTGGGTAGAATCTTTAGGCCAAAAAGTAACATATATGAATGTTGTGGCTTACAGATTCTTTAGTGGTCAAATGGCAATTTTGAGAATTAAAAATAAATATATTTTCTTTTCTAAAAAAGTTAATGATGTGGAAGTCAGATGGCCTAGGCCATTTGTGAAAGGGGCGTTAGTTGATCAGAAAGAGCACTGTATTATTGTAAGTCGGGCCAGTGAGAACTTCATATTCTGGTTGATTTTGATTCTATCAGCCTTGCTATTGAATTAAGAAACAAATTCTTGCTTGTTAAATATTTATTAGAGTATGCATTAGAGTACTACATTGCAAGTTTACTAAAAACCACTTAATTGATTACCGAGTTAAGCTGATAGGCCAAAAGTGAACATTAAGCTTAAACACATTAAGCTAACATAAACCAGAATGTGGCCAATTTTAGCCTGGAGAAGAGGAGGCTGAGGGGAGCCCTTATCACCCTCTACAACTGCCTGAAAGGAGGCTGTAGTGAGGTGGGGGTCGGCCTCTTCTCCCTGGTAATGGGCGATAGGACGAGGGGAAATGGCCTCAAGTTGTGCCAGGGCAGGTTTAGGTAGGTCATTAGGAAAAATTTTTTCAATGAAAGGGTTGTCAAGCATTGGAACAGGCTGCCCAGGGAAGTGGTAGAGTTCCCCATCCCTGGAGGTATTTAAAAGCTGGGTAGACAAGGTGCTTAGGGACATGGTTTAGTGGTGGGATGGCAGGGTTAGGTTAACGGTTGGACTTGATGATCTTAAAGGTCTTTTCCAACCCAAACAATTCTATGATTCCATGATTTAGTTGGTAATTAAAAAAAGAATAAATTGTTGTTCCATCCCAGCAACATATGTCAGGTAAAAATATTAAGTGTCCATCAGATACTTAATAGATATAAGTGGATGTGGAACCTTGCTGTGAGATCAGTAATTTTGACTCTAAAAGCAAATGTTGCGATTTAGTAACAGAAGACCATTACCTGAATCAATTTTTTTATTCTAGTTAGCATCCCTCAAATAAATGTATGGACATCAGTGTGGTTGTCAGAAATTCTGTTTAAAATGTTAATTCCTATTAGTTAGAGCATAGTTTAATCTTAATGACTATTCATAAGATAATTCCATCTGTTCTCATCTGAGGTATTGCTCCTATAGTGGCTGAAGGGTACAACTTGGAAAAACTAAAAAGCGCTATTAATTTGTCTTTTGCTGTTGGTTTTGGTCTTGGGTTGTTTTTGCTGCATAAATCCTTTGCTTTTCACTTAAAATGCAGCATTTGGGGGACCTGACAAAAATAACTAAAATCAGATACACACTCTGTGATATTTTGTTGAATTTACTGCTCAGATAAGTAGCATAAAATTTCACTAAGACATAGTCTAGTGGAAGTAGAGGGAAACTGCAATCTTACCAACCTCAGTACCAATTCAATAGTGTCAAGACTAAAGCTGTTTTATACAGGATTATCTATTGATCTGTACTCCTTGTTTTAAGTATTTTTCTTCTTGGCTCATCTGTATTTATGCTGGAATAACTGAGTTATGGTTAGGTCGCAACTCAGCCAGATTAGGATGTGAATAATAAAAACAAGTTACATTTGAACTTTCATCCAAATATATATACGTCTGATTCTTTGGAAAGCAAGAAAGATGGGAGAAAAACTGGTTTTGTTGTGATCTGTAAGTTGTAAGATGATCAGATAAGGTATTAGCAGCTAATTAATACATAGGAGGACATATGTTCTGCTGAAGGAAGACTGTTAACAGTTATTTTCAATCTCAAAACAAAATCAATTTATTTATTAATTCGATTATTTTTACTTCACTTTTTAGTGATCAGGCATATGAAGACAAGAAGGGGGGAAAAAGCCTATTCTAACAAATAAGTAACTTTTACCTGCCTCTATTCAGTAGAAAAGGGAACAGCACAGAATAGGTTTTTCTGCTGTTCTTGATGATGGGCAGTCATAGTATGTTGGCTATCCTGGGTCTAAGTGGACAGCTGCTTGAAATATTGCAAAAATTACAGGCATGATTTGATTGACTGGAAAGCTGTCTGCGATCCTGTAACTCTCTGCCTTACAGTGTGATGGCTGAGTGCCCTGCGAAGGTCATGTTGAGCAAAAGGAGCTTGAAACCTGCCTTGGTTTAGAAAAATGTCACTTTTACCTTTTGAAATATTTATAATTTAGATGCTAGGAACTTGCTTTGCTTTCAGCAGAATCTGGTGATAGAAATGCCTGCCGCGATGTATGTACAGAAAGGTAACAGTATATTTTTCCTAAACTTTTTTTTCTTTAACCTTAAGAAAAATTGACAACTCTGATAGGGAAATATTTGATATATTTTTTCTCAGTACATTTCCAACTGTTGAGAAGTAATTACTGGGTTTTTATGACTGGCATTGCTTGTAGGTACCTAGAGCTAGGAAAGGTTTTACAAGTCAGTGAAATAGTCTACACAACGTCATTGCTGGAAGAGGCAGGAAATATGATTGTTTCAGCAACTAACAGGGAATTCCAATGCTCATTCTGCATAGGGTATTCAGATTAGACACCTCCTTCTTAAGTAAATTCAGACTGAACATCTGTGATGGTATAGGATTAAAAAAAAAGTCATAGGTGTTCATATGATTATCCTTACAGAAAAATACCAAGTGTATTTTTGATTATGATAAGTATAGATGGACCATAATTTTTGAATGTGTGCTCAATCTGCTGAACAGGTAGCTTGAAGCTTTAGAGGATTGTTAAACTGAAAGTAAACTTGTTTAACTGAAAGTAACCTGCTAGTTTGTTGAAAGTAATTTCTTTCCATTGAAGGTAAAGGACTTGTGAGGAAGCCAATGCACCTACTATGACTCCTAAAGAAGATATGTATCAAAGTACTTAAACTTAGGTTCCACTGAACTGATGAAATTTGTTGTGCTGAATTGATGAAATACTAGATTCAGTTTAAGATAAACTTCACACTAGATTAAGATCTTACCTTTCATATTGCTTTACTTGAATCGTGAATGATTCAAGAGTAATACACATTCTGGCTCTAAAGGTGCCCTATCAGCTTGTGTTCCAAAGAAGTTTTCTATACTTAGAAAGGGAGGGAATAATGAAAAATGTTTTTTGCAGAACAGCTCTGGAGATCAGCTTACCTTTTCTTCTCCATATGAAACCATTCTCTTTCAAAGAGATCCGGTTCCTTAACATCAAGGCTTGCATATTCCAATGCTAAGTTCTGTTACCTGTAATAGTATGACAGCTTTAACAGAGAAATGTACGTAGGATGTTTTAATATGATTCAACAATGCTTGAAACCTAGAATGCAGTAATTTTTCTTAAGTGATGAAGATTGACTTTTTTTTTTCTTTTTTTTTTTTTTTTTTTTAGAAGTCCTGGACATAAGCTATTAAACAAATGAAATTGGTTCTGTAGTTTTTGAGTACACAAAAAGATATCTAAATACATTTTTACATTTTAGCCTTTTGTGCAGTGAGGCTGCTTTTATTTTGTGTACAGTCTGGGAAATACTAAGGTGATGTTTTATTATACGGGCTATTTCATACAGTGTGTTCTTGGACAAATTATAGTTTAAATACTGCCACAGCTGACTTCATATCTTTTAGTAATAACTTCCCCTAAGCCAGCTTAGTCAGTTGTATTATGAGCAGCCATAAATATTAACTGCAGAATGTTACTTCTAGGAATCTTTCAATGAACTACACATACGCTGACAAAGTGAATTCTGCTTACACATCAGAAATATTTATTTCCAGTCTAATTGGTGAAGTTGGAAGAAAAATCATGGGTCTTGACCTGTGCTGAGTATATTGTGGGCATGAATATTTTTGCATGTAATAAGCAGAGTCTTGGCCTTGTTTTCTGTTTTTTCAGCCTTGTTAGCAAAGGCAAAAACAAGGGAATGGCAAATTATCAGGTTTAAAATTATAATTAACCTTATCATCACTGTATTTTCTAGGGAAATTATATTAGGCTGTATTCATGAATGTAACATTAGTTTTTTTTATGTGCAATCAGCTGCTCCTGGAAAGTACAACTGAACAAAATTTATGTTTAAATACATGCATATATATTTGTTCAGCTGAGGGGGGACCTTACCAGCTGTTGTCAACTGTCTGTCTGTTGATTAGCTACAGAGAAATTGAATCAAACTCTTCTCGGAGGTGCACAGCAAAGGGACAAGAGACAACAGTCACAACTGCAGCAAGACCAGATATAAGGAAAATAACCTGCACAATTAGAATGGCTAAGTCATTAGCCAGAGAGATTGTGAAACCTCCATCCTTGGATGTATTCAAAACTTGACGAGTCAAAGCCCGAACACCCTGATCCAGCTTTGCAGTTGCAGCAGATGAATCCCAGTGGTCCCTTCCAACCTGAATTACTCTGTTTGTCTGCATCAAATGGCATTTCAACAATGGAAGTTTTTAAGATGTTAGACATAATTGCTATACCCTTTCAAAGGTACAAGTCAATATAACCAGTTAGTGTTTAGAATATCCATTATGCTGTTTTTAATTCTTTTTATAACACAAAAGTGGAGTTTCTAAAATCCTCTTACTCTGTAGATGTGGTTGTGATTTTTGTCTTACAGCAGTTTCCTAAAGGCCCAGTCATGCATTGGAAGCCTGTTGTGTTAATAGCTGAACGTACAGAGAATGGTAAGATTGCATTTGTGGTTTATAACTAGATTGTAAATTCTCTAAATCAGAAACAATTAGTAGATCCAGGCAGATGCGTATGGTGAAGCAATCAGTGGGGTGGGTGGCAGTCTGCATGCGGACGGCTGAACATTGGGTCATGTTTAACACACTGCAGTAAAGGGAACTGCTTTGCAAATGTACATGGAGAGCAGTTCCCAAGTGAGAAGAGGAGCCTGGAAAAGTACACAAGTAATTATTTGCTCACTTGTTAAAGTTTCAATTAAGTCTGACTGGATTCATTCATAAGGGACAGGGTCAACATTTTGACTGTAAACTGGAGAGAAATGTGTCAGGAGTAAAGTATAAAAGACACCTAAAATGAAGGCAAAAAAATTAATATGATTGAAATAGAAAGCAGAGAGGTTACCTACAAATTTTAGTGTCACGACCTACAAATTTTAGTGTCACGGCTGTAATTTAATGACTTGATGTAGGAAGAATCTACAAGAATCTTTTTCATTTATTTCATAAATAGAACTTAAATTGATTTGAACTTGACCGGTCTCCTCTGCCAATATGGAGCAGAATGAGCTAGCCTGCTACTCGCTAGCCACTTAGCTCAGATTTTCCCTGGTAGTGTAGGTATCTTCTTTTATGGCTATCTTCATGAAATGTAAAAAAGTAGAATATAAACAGAAATTTGGACTAGAGAAAAAAGTAGAGGTAAAAACTTAAATTTATAGTTCACTTAAAACCAAGATCCATAGCATAGTGCCATTTAGTGTTTCGATAATTAACGGTGTATATTTTAAGGCAAAAAAGAGGTACCTAGTAATCATATTTCTTGGGTTAGGTGTTGTTTTATATGTTTGCTTTAAGGGAAAAATTAGTGGCATTCTCAGAACAATAACTTTGATGTTTCAAGAACTAGGGCAACTGTAATGAGAGAAGTGTGGTCTTGCCATATAAAGGGAAGTATATTGTCAGCAAGCAAAAGATAATAGCATCCTGTACACCCAGAAGGCCTGCTGGGATGTTTGTGTCTGCATCAGATCCCCTTCGCCCTCAGAACAGTCTGTTTTTAAACTGGTGCTGAGTTTGACCTTAGTAAACAGATACTGTTGGAAGACATTTAAATGCGTGATCATGCACAGCGTGTTCCTCAGTCCTACAGGACACTGACAGTAGTATTTTTCTACATCAGATTTGTATTAGTTTGCACTTTCCTTGAGTTCAAAGGCTTATCTGTTTAACACTAAAGGGGAAAACTTAATTCCAAGTTATATTCCATATCCTTAATTGATAATAGCTTAGCTGAATCCATGAGACAGAATTAGAGACTTAGCATCATTGTTCCAAACAGCTTATGATGGGATGGTTTCAGATTTCTGTTTAAAATAAGAATAACTTCCATAGAAAGTGAAATGCTGACTTTGTTGTTAACTACGTTTTCCTCACTGTGAGCTGTGATTTACTTGTAAAACTTGTGAAGAATATAGGCTGTTCTAGGTCAGTATAACTACTACTTCATAGGAACAGCATGCACACCTTTGAGAACCAAAGTGGGCTACTGGTATAGTTGACATATGTTTGTTGTAACCTATTTAAAATACCTTGCAAAGCCAGGAAACTGCAAGAACGATACTCTTTCGTGGGCCTCTTCTGACTTCGTAAGATAATGTTTGACCTTTACGTTATCCCATGATATCTGGACTGTAATATTGAATGTTAGCTAGATTTTTTTTTAAATATGTTGACTTATCACTTGTCACCCTTACTGCATGAAACCTTGTGCTTTCCTGTGGTCAGACAGTGGTTTTTGTGCATCAGCAGGACTGCAGTATTAGCATGTAATTGAGAGAGAGGGCACCTCATTCCATATATTTTAAAACTGACAGTGAAGGGAAGGTGCGATGTTGGGATGAATCTTGGCTGAGAGAAATTGATGATGTTGTGAAAATGTGTTAGCCAATATTAAGTTAAACCTGATGTAGCAAAACAAAGGACCTCTGAATATCTGAACCCAAATTTAGCAGAAAAGTGCATCTTAACATTTGAAGCTTTGTCTAGATGCTTCTTAGTTTTGATAACTGAAACAGCTGAGTATGTTCATATAGAATATTTCCTCCTTTTTTCCCCTTTTGCCTTTTTGAGGCATTATCTCAGTGGTTATCTTTGAGAAAGTTTTGAAAGCTGGCCTTCCAGTTTTATTCTTCTGGTCAGTTCTCATTTGTAATCCTGTGACCGTTTCTGGTGTTGAAAAGACTACAGAGTTTGTGAATGCATAAAGTGCGTTGAGGTCTGTTTAAGTATTTAGACAGTGTAATCGTTGATTCTGTGTTGTGTTACCTTAAAACTGGAGGACTGAGGTGTGCAGCTGAGGAGCTGTTGTCTCCCACTTTTCTAAAATCTGCCATCATTATTCCAGCTGTATAATTCTAAATAGTTGCCACTTTTCTCCTTTATAGCACTAGGGGGTTTTGTGTGTTTGTTTCTATGTATATTTTAATCAGCTTTTACTCGTGGTTGGTGATAAGGTATAACATATCTCTCTGTCTGTGAATGAATTGACACATTCGAAAATACTTAGGGCTTGCAAAGACAGTTGTGTTTAGGATTTCAGCGGTGCTATAACTATATGTAAGGCAACTCAGCAGGGCTTTTCAGTTCACAAGATTTGCTAATGCAGCAGCAGCTAACCGCCAAGGGAAATTTAAATTTGAAGGGACTCTTCATGTCCTGATTTGTAAAAGCCCTCCTGGGCTATTCTAGAAATTTCTGCTAGCAACTACATTTAGCTCTGCTGTGTGGCTTGTTTCAGTTCCTGCGTGCAGCTGTATGCTGTTTGCTAAAGCTCATGAGGTATTACATTGCAGCAACAAGTACATTGTCTAGGTGGTAACAGCAGGGCTAGCAAACGTCTGTCAGCCCCTGGTGTTCAGACAACATGTACAGAGCATTTGGTCTTATTGGCACAAAGCATTACTGCAGGCTAGAAATAATCCATTTTGGTGTCTCTAATCTACCAGTTATACTCCTGCTTTATGATATGTTAATAGTAATATGACTGATATTGGAATGGGCTCGGTGAAGATTCTGCTGTTTTTCTCTTTGTCTCATACTTGTAGTTGACAAAGTGGACAAATAAAACACGCTAATACTGCTTTTGTTATGAGCTTTATCTACATGAAGATAAGTCATACAATTTTTAATGTTACCTCATGAAGAACCCTTTTTTTAAACATGCACTTTGAACGCAGCAGGTTTATGATTCCTGTGTTCATATGGTCCTGATAAGTATCTCATGTATTTTCTAAGAATAAACTGATTTTGGAGATTGCTACGTAAGTTTGATCCAAGTACAAAAGGTGAACAGATGTAGACTGCTATGAATAGCTGATATTCAAAATGATCTTTAACTTTGGAAGAAGATTAGCCACACTAGGAATTCATGAACTGTAATAGCAAAATCATTAATGTAATGTAAATTGGTGAGATTATAATTTAAAAAAAAGTATTTATGATATACATGCTGGCAAACAAGAGGCTTGCATAATAATTTAATAGTGCTTATTGTAAGTATGTAATATTTATAGACTAATTTCAGATTACATAATCCATTTGGGAAATATTAAGTATGGACACATAGGCGTCATATTTTGAAGCAGTTGGCATGCAGTAGCAGAATGGCTGCAGCATACCACTCACACCCATTGCAAAAGTTCTTAAATGTGTATGCTCTTTATGAAAGTCAGTCATTTTCTCCTTTCCCTGGGTGACTTGGAACAAAAGCAGTGATTGGTACTGCTGAGAACCCAGACTGTGAAAGGATTTGGAATCCCTGTTATCGTAATTCCTTAGAGTGTATGAGGTTCATATTGCCTGTGAGAAGAGAGACTGTAATCCCCGTCTTGCTCTTCCAACCTACAGCCCAGAAGATTACTCACAACTTTTTCTCCTTAGGGTCCAAATCCAATATATACTTTATACCAGTTCCGAAAATCAGAAGACTTAAAAAATAGCAAAAGGGAAAATGTTAAATGTATTTATTTTACAGTTTATTAAAAAAAAAGATTAAAAAACATTATTTATACTATTTTAGTGTGTTGATTTATAGATGTGTTTATGGCCTATATTGTATTTAAAATTTTTAGATCCTAGAATGACACAGTGTTGTATTTGAAAATAAAATCCCTGTTCATCAGATTGTATAGAACGTGCATAGTGCAGCAGCTGAAGGTCCTCCCCATAGAATGGTAAGCTTCTAGTTGGATATGGGGATTATTCACTGTCTTAGTAATGAATAGGAAACACATATGAGGGTTCTTTCAGTTTAGGGCATGTTTAAAAAAATAATCATTCTGACTTGTGTATTTACAGGGAAATGACATCTCTTTCTAAAGTTGTTTTCTGGCTGTCTTTGGGTTGTTATATTCAGGAGAGTACTAATAAGCTGAAGGGAATTTGTAGCACTGCAACCAAAGTGATTATGAGTTTTATGTAGAGGGTTGCTAAAGAAGCACGTGTTTAGGTTTGTCTCTAGTTAATCGGTTTTGGTGCTTAGATTGCATCTGTATCCAAGGTCCTACCCAAGCCGCAGGTGGGGTTCTACTGGACAATGACCTGCTTTTCAACCCCCACTCCATTCGAGTGTGTGAATCTTGGGATGTCAATCATGTCACTTTCAACCGGTCCTAATTAACACCTACAGAACCATCACAGAGAAAGCAAGGAAGCAGAGAACAGGCCTGTGATGGAGAAAAAAATTCTACAATCGACACTTTGTGAGATTGTTCTGTTTTCGTTGCTCCTAGCAGCATTTTGGTGGAGTCTCTATTCACTAGACATTCCAGAGAAGAAGTTGTGACATCTTAATTTTAATTCTGCCTTGGTTTCGTTTTATTTTATCATTGCAGACTCCCTTAAATGAACAGGTTACATTAATGCTTTCCTTTTTCAGTGCTTGCAACAGACTAGTTCATCTGTTAAGGTTTGGCCAGCAAGGAAATATTTTCCTTTCTTCATAGCATCTTTTGACTAGTGGTTTTTTTTTTTTTTTTTTCCTTTGAAGAGTCTCTAATGAAGCCTCATGGATGAAGACTTTAGGCTGGTTTTTTTTTTATTATTTATATTTTGTCATGCCTAAGGATGCTGATCTTGGGCAAGAGCATCATTGTTCAAGAAACTCCACATAGATTTCTTTATTACCTCAAGGGGAGTTTCTGTGTTAAACTTACTCCAATTATCCCTATTGTTTTAATAGTTAGATATCATAAATCAAGTCTACTCACCAGAATTTCTTTCTAGTCAATGGAGAAAAATGAGCTCTTCCAGGAATGAGGTTTTATCAATTATCCTTAGACATTTTGTTTTAAATGATGGGCCAAATAAATGCCATGGATTTTAATTTAGACTAAACCCATATTTCTATATGAGTTTTGTACTGCTGTCCCTAACCTAGGTGATCAAATAGTAATGAAGGTATTTGAATTTGTTTCACTGTACAATTTTAAGGATTATTTACATGCAATTTACTTAGGCTCAGGAAAAATATTTTCCATGTTATATCTTAAATTTCAGGGTGACATCTCTTACTCTTCACTGTACATATCTTGGAGCCTCCTTCTGTGAGATTGTAATAGCTGACCAACAAGGGTCTTCAATATTACAGTCAAATTTTCATGCTGTTGTGATCAAGCATCTGTTAATGAGTTATACTTGCAGGTAATTAGATAATATTGGGGGTCTTCCTTACTGTTCTTGTATTTATATCAATATCTTCTTTTTTTCCCTTCCTTCCTGTCTGTCTGTTAAACCACACAGAAGAAAAAAGGTCATAATTTAATGAGTGACCCTTTGGATCACAGATGTCGACAAAATGAAGCCTGAAAATTTTAAATTGGCTGGCTGCTGTTATCCTAACAGAGCCCATTAAAGTCACACAAGAGAGCATAACTTATTATGTAGTGAAACTGTGACTTTTTCATGGTTTCTTTGTAAACATGACAAAATTTATGGATGGCATTAGTGATACTAAGTTGACAGAATTAAAATCACTGTTTATGGATACAGTTCAGTAACTTGATTTAATTAGATTCTCACCACATTGTTCTAAGAGGATTTTCAAGCAGTATTTTATGACAAGGGTTTAAAAGAGAATGCTGAAGTTCTTACACAAGTGATGAATTGAAAGAAATATTTTCTTTTAAATACATATATATTTAACTAAATACTTATTGTTTAGGCTCTTGTGCTTTGAAATGGTGTACGGTATATTGTACAGGGGCTTCGGTCACTGTACAATCCCAAACTTCATCTTTGACTAATAGTATACTGCATTAACACTGGGTATATTAGTATAGCAGGAGGAGTTTCAGCTCTACTCACAGAATCACAGAATCACAGAATCGTAAGGGTTGGAAGGGACCTCAGGAGATCATCTAGTCCAACCCCCCTGCTAAAGCAGGCTCACCTAGAGCATGCTACACAGGACTTCATCCAGGCGGGCTTTGAATATCTCCAGAGAAGGAGACTCCACAACCTCCCTGGGCAGCCTGTTCCAGTGCTCTGCCACCCTCAGAGTGAAGAAGTTCTTCCTCATATTCAGCTGAAACCTCTTATGTTTCAGTTTGCACCCATTGCCCCTAGTCCTGTCGCTGGACACCACTGCAAACAGACTGCTTCCGTCCTCTTGACTTCCGCCCTTAAGATATTTGTATGCGTTGATGAGATCCCCTCTCAGTCTTCTCTTCTTCAGGCTGAACAAGCCCAACTCTCTCAGCCTTTCCTCGCAGGGGAGATGCTCCAGTCCCTTTATCATCCTAGTAGCTCTCCTCTGGACTCTTTCTAGGAGTTCCTCGTCTTTCTTGAACTGGGGAGCCCAGAACTGGACACAGTACTCCAGGTGGGGTCTCACCAGGGCAGAGTAGAGGGGGAGGAGAACCTCCCTCGACCTGCTGGCCACACTCCTCTTAATACACCCCAGGATACCATTGGCCTTCTTGGCAACAAGGGCACATTGCTGGCTCATGGTCAGCTTATTGTCCACCAGGACTCCCAGGTCCCTCTCAGCAGAGGTGGCATTGCTCAAGGAACAACGTCAGGGCCGATCCTGTTCAGCATCAGCATCATCAGTTACCAGCACAAGGGGCGGAAGGCACGTCAGCAAGTCGGCGGGTAATGGTAACCCAGAGGGGGGGGAAGCAGTTCACGGCCTTGATGGCAGGATTAGTCTTCAGAGGTACCCTGGATGAGACAGAGGAACGGGCCAAGAGGAACCTCCTGAAGTTCAGCAAACACAAAGACACTGTCCTGTCCCTGAGCTGGAATAGCCCCCAAGCATCAAGATGGGGTTGTGGACCCACTGGTTGGAGCAGCTCAGCCAAAAAGCATTGGGGTGCTGGCAGGCAAGACGAGGTGGCTTCCCCCAGAGCCCTCCCAATCCAAGGGGTTCTATGATTCCTAATAACTGTATCTCCCAAAGACCAACTTGACTTGGCCCTGGGTTTTTTCATCTTTTTTCACATGTCCCCACCAAAGCATACATAGTCACAGATTTTTGTAAACAGTGATTTCGTAGGTCAGCAACCTCAGTGGAAGAAAATTGTGTGTGTGTGCATGTGCGTCTGTTGGGTACAACTGTCAGCAGCAAAAAACGGAAGATGCAATTTAGCTCCTTTGTGAAGTTGCAGCATTCTGTTGTACTTGGTGCAATTTCCATTAAGAAGATAATGCCAAGCATGCTCCTTTTTACCTTCCTCCTATAGACTGTGAACATCTCTCTGCAACCCTTCCCCTTTCATCTTCTCCCCAGCTTTTACCTCCCTCTGTGTCAAGAGGCAAAGGTCCAACTCTAAGATGGTGCAACTGTGTAACCCTGGCTCAGGCTGCTGAGAAAACAAAGTTGTGGCAAGCGCTGCGCAATGGCGTGTAGGAAGGTGCAGTACAACCGGCAGCAGAGCTAGGCTGTCCCGTCTGGAGTTGCCAGTAGCTCACAGGATCAAAATGATGAATACCAGCACAGAAATTATTCTAACCACAAAGAGAATGAAAACAGGGAAAGAATCATAGAATTGTAGAATCATTTAGGTTGGAAAAGACCCTGGAGATCATTGAGTCCAACCGGAAACCTAATATTGCCAAGTCCACCACTAAACCATGTCCCTAAGTGCCACATCTACCTGCCTTTTAAATACCCCCAGGGATGGGGACTCAACCATTTCCCTGGGCAGCCCCTTCCAGTGCTTGACAGCCCTTTCTGTGAAGAAATTTTTTCTAATATCTAATCTAAACCTGCCCTGGTGCATCTTCAGGCCGTTTCCTCTCGTCCCATCACTTGTTGCTTGTCACTTATTACTGCCAGACAGCTGTGAACCAGT